GGTGGTGTTGGATCGGTATTGGCCAATTCTTAGAATTTGGAATACTCTATATAATCGTACACTGCAAAATAATAACTCAAAAAGATTAAAAGATAACATCATAATTATTTACAGAACCCTTAAATTAATCACAATTATATAATGAAAGCCATAAAAAGCAGACAATTAATCGTGATAATCGGCATAATCATCATAATCACCAAAGCCCTAAAACAGACAATTAAATCGCAATAACCGTGACTATTTTTAGACAATTAATTGTCAGCCAAATTTCATAATCGTGACAGCCCTATTCTCCATGCATTACAAGGATGCTGGCTGTAACTGCATATTCCTGGTATAACAGTTCACCAGCATGCAAAAATACAACATGTGCATCATCCGGCACAGTGACCGAGGTGGCCGGGCCGGGCCAGGCCCCCATGTGGTGCCGACGCTGCTCTGACACCTTGGCAATTGAATCGCCATTGGCTAGTAAATTTTTTAGTTTACTTGCCAGACTGATATACTAATATATACACATTTCATTTAATTTTAATTTAATTTTTTAATTTAATAAGAACAGTATAAAATGCATTAAGGATTAAAGAGCTGCTAGATTCATGAATATTAATCAGGTTGTGTGCGTTCGCTCTAACTGATTCGCTGAAATCAAAACAGAGACGATAATAGGTGAGCGCCAGCCAATGAGATTGCCGTTTGCACATTAGTTCTGCCCACTACCGGAGAACCCGCCAGTTCTTAAAAGCTGAAAAAATCCAAAGGAACTCCGTTATTTTTGACAGGAAAATATAACAAAGAATATCGTTTACATGTAGCGCGTCAAGTCTGCATGTATGTGGAAGACAAAAAGGGTTTAAGCATAAAAACAATAAGTGTAATACTGCTTTAAATTGTTGTTCCCCAAATTTTTTTTTAAAAGTTTTCTGTTTAAAGATATGATGTTGCTAAAAAGAACATTATTTTGTGTATTTGGTGTAATGAAATGTGTTTATGCGGTTTAAGGTTAAAAAAAACACATTATTTTCCACATACTGTACATTATTGTTTCTCCTCTATGCCCCGCCTTTCTGAAATGCGTTGCATCGCGCCGCGTAAACATAAAACCATGTCTGCATTTGTGATCGGAGAAATGACAAACAACAAGCGCTACTCTAATGTAGCCTATTTGAAGCTAAACTATTAGCCTATTTATTCGGTAAAATAGGCTTTGTAGTTCACGCAGTTCCAGTATCGACTGAAAAATATCATAATGAGCAAAAATATGCCACAGTGGACCGGTGCTCACACCAAACGGCACGGTGAATGGCTGTTCTGTTTCCAATGAATGCAGTAGCATATATAGTGTGCGCGTGAGGCGCCGGCGCGATCAAACAGCTGAAACATAAAATAGACTACTCCGTAATTTTTGGTCATACAGTAAAGGCATAATTCGAAACTGCAAAGTGTTAGCAGTTTGAAAATTCAAGAATAATAGCAAAGTTAATAAGAATTCTTTCTAAATGCAGCACCGTTCTTATTTCACTCTGCATAACCTGAACGGGAAAAATATTTTTTTTTGCTAAGAACGAACCGAAATGAAAACATTTCGCTTTTAATCTGTGTATTTAACAGCCTGGGAGACCTTCCCAGGGCAGTACCTTGCCTCACCGACTAAAATCAGGGCGCCCACTACGGAGACGGCACCATGCAGAGGTGAGGGGGCACAGTGACCGAGGTGGCCGGGCCGGGCCAGGCCCCCATGTGGTGCCGACGCTGCTCTGACACCTTGGCAATTGAATCGCCATTGGCTAGTAAATTTTTTAGTTTACTTGCCAGACTGATATACTAATATATACACATTTCATTTAATTTTAATTTAATTTTTTAATTTAATAAGAACAGTATAAAATGCATTAAGGATTAAAGAGCTGCTAGATTCATGAATATTAATCAGGTTGTGTGCGTTCGCTCTAACTGATTCGCTGAAATCAAAACAGAGACGATAATAGGTGAGCGCCAGCCAATGAGATTGCCGTTTGCACATTAGTTCTGCCCACTACCGGAGAACCCGCCAGTTCTTAAAAGCTGAAAAAATCCAAAGGAACTCCGTTATTTTTGACAGGAAAATATAACAAAGAATATCGTTTACATGTAGCGCGTCAAGTCTGCATGTATGTGGAAGACAAAAAGGGTTTAAGCATAAAAACAATAAGTGTAATACTGCTTTAAATTGTTGTTCCCCAAATTTTTTTTTAAAAGTTTTCTGTTTAAAGATATGATGTTGCTAAAAAGAACATTATCTTTATGCTTCCATCTGCTGACAAGCTTTATGGAGATGCTGATTTCCTTTTCCAGCAGGACTTAGCACCTGCCCACAGTGCCAAAACTACTTCCAAGTGCTTTGCTGACCATGATATTACTGTGCTTGATTAACCAGCCAACATGCCTGACCTGAACCCCATATGGACTCTATGGGATATTTTCAAGAGAAAGATCGGTCGATCCAAAAATACAGATGAGCTGAAGGCTCAATAGTGCTTCAGCAGTGCCACAGGCTGATCGCTTCTATGCCACACTCACTGATGCTGTCATTTGTGCTAAAGGAGCCCCGACCAAGTATTGAGTGCATAAATGAACATACTTTGAAGAACCTCAACTTTTCTGTTTTGCAAATCCATTTTTTGATTGATCTTAGGAAATATTATATTTTGATTGGATTTGACTGGATTTTTGACTTTCATGAGCTGTACGCTCTAATCATCAAAATTAAAACAAACAAAAAAAAACTTTTTAAATGTTTTACTTTACATGTAATGAATCTAGAATATATGAAAGTTTCACTTTTTGAAATGTTACAAAAAATGAACTTTTTCATGATATTAAATTTTTTTTTAGATGCACCTGTATATATATATATATATACACACACACACACACGTCACATATCTGTGTGTGTAATTTATTCCTGTGACCAAAGCTGAATTTTAAGCATCATTACTCCAGTCTTCAGTGTCACATGTTCCTTCAGAAATCCTTCTAATATGCTGATTTGCTGCTCAATAAACATTTATATTATTATCAATGTTGAAAACAGTTGTGCTGCTTCATATTTTTGTGAAACCAGGATACATTTTTCCAAGATTCTTTAAATAGAAAGTTCAAAAGAACAACTTTATTTGTAATGTATTTTTTTGTAAACCTCTTCACTGTTATTTTGATCAATTTAATGCATCCTTGCTAACCAAAAGTATTAATTTATTAAAAAAATGTAATCTTACTTACCTCAAACTTAAGAAAGTGTATACTATTTTTTTTAAAATCTTCTGCATACACATCTTCAGCATTTACAAATTGACAAAACTTATATTTTTTATTTTTATGTTTAGGTATACATACACATACATAAAAGATTTATAAACATCTATGTCAGATATAAATATATATAGGACAGGTCAGCTCAGCTCAACTAGGAGTTGGTGCATGTGTTTGCATGAAAGTGAACAGTCAGTACAGAATTAACCTATCAAACAAAACACAATAGCAGGAGGCTCTCAATGGCAGAGGCTGAAGTAATGTAAATTTAAAACACTGAACCGCAGTGACTCAAGGACGGGTGCCCAATGAAGTTGAGGATCCCACATTGCTTTCAGACTCTACTTCTCTAGTATTTCGCTATATAAACAAAGTCTTGCTCCTATGACACCGAAAAGTACAGCCCAGGTAGGAGGCTCGATGGGGTTTGAGACACATCCAGCGTTTCACTTCAAAACTGTGGCTAGTTCACCGAAGATGTCCAAGATACCACACACATTAATTGTGTTCATCTTTGGAAACATGCATTTCACTGCTGACGTACATACTATAAGTGGACACAACTTAAGCCGTTTTCCAGTGGTAGCTTTGTTAATGTACTCGTTTAGCACAGTTTGACCAGTTAGCCAACGTGTGTTATTTAGCTCACGGCTCACTGACCTTACCATTACACACTAAACCGTTCATCAAAGCGCTCAAATGCACAGTGTACGACACACAGATGGGAAAGAAACTCTTACCATGTCACCAAGTGCTACTTCCGAGGAAACTTTATGTTTCCTTGAACTGAAATTCCCTCGGTGAGGTGCTGTGTGTTGTTAGGGACAACTATTTGGCAGGAAGTCGCTACAATTCGCAACGCGCATGCGCAGAAACTAGACGTTCCTTCAAATCAGTTTACCCCTTGTCAGTATTTAAAATCAGTATTTTTTCCCGCTAAAACTCTGTAGTTATTGCAGACATAAGAGATGACTACTGAGGCAATCATCAATATATCATACTATGATAAACTGACTTTAGTAACCCCCACTTACCGACCGTTTGTGGTCAGTAAGATTTTTTTTCCTTAAAAAACCCCCTAACAATTTCATTCAGAAAGAACGATTAAATCCATTAAATGTGACGCTGCATTTCGCACTAACTGTAAACATGAATGCAATTTGTTTGCCCCAATTATAGCTATTACAATAATCCAGTCTATACGAAACAAAGCATGAATAACAAATTCTATATCTTAAAAAAAGAAGAAAGAAAAAAAAACATAAATAATCATAATAATAGTATTTTAGTAATAGCCCTTAGCCCTGAATATTTAAGTTAGTGGATAGAGGACTAAGATGGTTAATTAATTGTTGGGCCAAATACCACCACTTCAGATTTTGAATCATTAAACTGAAGGATATAAGAGCCATCCATCTCATAATGTCATCCAAACAACCTAGCAGAGACATTAGTTTGGAGTTATTTTTACACTTTAAAGGTTGATACAGCTGTCTTCCGCACAGCAATAATATGCAACATTGACAAATTAATCCCAATGGAAGCATATATAAAGAGAACAGGGCCAAAAATAGAACCCTGAGGAACCCCAAAGGAGATGGGGCAGAGAAGATAAAGCTCCTTTAAATAAGAAAGAATCACTTTAATGCAAGCTTCTCCCACTGACTTAAGTGGGCAAGAAGAATCTCATGGTCCACCATGTCAAAAAACTGAGATCAAACAGCACTAAAATAGCACAGTTCCCTTAATCTACCAACATCAACAAATCATTAGCCACTTTGAAACAATCAGTTTCTGTGCTATGTTTTGATCTAAAACCTGATTAAAATTTGTCAAAAATCTTACTTTAAAATTTAGAAAGCTCATTATAAACAAACTTCTCCAGTATTTTAGCTATAGGAATTTTGCCAATTTTGAGATCTATAGTTATAAAACCAGAGCTTGCTTAAAATATAACAAAATATAATACATATAAAAATATAATCTATTAAACTCCTATTCACTGTTGACAGAGACAACATTCAAACCCTGAATTAAAAGACAAGAAGGAACAATATCTAGCCAACAGTAATGTGTAATTATGTGACACTAAAAACTGGAGTAATGATGCTGAAAATTCAGTTGCAGCACAGGAATAAATTACATTTTAATATATATAAAATTGTTATTTGAAGTTGTAATAATATTTCACAATATTACTGTTTTTGCTGTATTTTTGATCAAATAAATAAAACCTTGGTGAGCATAATACTTCTTTCAAAAATTAAGAATTTTTTAAAAACATAAATAAGACTCAAACTTGGGTCTTAATGAGCAGCAACCCACTACCCTCTTCAACATCTCCAACTAGATAGATGTTTTATGTATATACAGTACAAAAGATTCCTCTCATCCATTCATTTTCCAAATTACTATGAATGGTTGCGAAGATGCTGGTGTAGACCCCAGTGTGAACGATAAGCAAAATCAATGCATTGCAAATTAAACATCAAAACTAAGGTGAGGAATAAGTACACTAAGACACAGATTAATTTTTACATATTTATTTTGCATTCATATCGATCATTCTCAATATTTCATTATTCTAAGAATTTAATACTCTGATCATTAGAGGTAAAATATGCAACATGTAAATAAATATACATGGAAAAATATAAAACAATATATGAATAACTTCCAAAAATGGAAATACAATAAACTTTATCCATATTGCCATGTTTGCAGTTATCTAAAGAACAATGTATAGCGCATTATTGGTCCAATGATATATGAAATATATTACAATTAAAACAGGGATGCGTTTCATGAGGGCATCCAAACCCCTCTCCTTCATTAAGTCGATACCACTCAATCGTCCCATGACAAATTGTTCACATCTCTATCAAGTCACCATTTCTATTGCACAGCATTCCATGTCCCTGTCCAACCCAGAGTGATACAGACAGGAATGATAGACACACATGTATCACAATGTACATAAATTAGCTGTACAGGCACAATTTGAACAAAAAAAGACAAAGTTCCTTCTGGGCTCCTACATAACTTCTGTACATGATGCAAAGGTTTCAATACAATCTAATCGACATGCTGTGTTTGCAATGGACAGCAATCACTTCAGATAGCAATGATAAACAGACGTATAAAACATACATCCATCTCACTAAATGTAACAGAATGTGATGTGCGACTACTAAAATTGCCTTCCCAGGAAACACAGTGTCTGGCATTTTGTGTAAAAGTGCTGGCATTGGAGAAAAAAAAAGGAAAGAAAGTACTTGTAAGACAAAATATTGATTTTAGGAGGAACACAGGATATCTTCTAGTCATTCAGACAAATAATCACAGCTAAAAGCCTTGTTTAACTAATTTTCCTTCTAATATAAACCTAAACGTAGCTTAGGAAGTTTTAAGTAGGACTGAAGAGTTAAGCTAAACCACACTAATATAATGCAGTATGATAAATAATGCAGTTATTAAATTAACATTTGTATTCAGTAAAAATGTATTGATATTTGAGTCGGACAGCCTGTGTATCCTCTTGTATTGGTGGGGGTTGATATGATAACTCCTTTTTCAGACCGTCCATGTATTTTGTACTTTTCTTGATCCTTTACCTCCACTGTGCAATGATGCATGAAAAATGCAAATAAATAAAACATCATCCAAAGACATTTTGATCAAATGTAAAAGATCACAAAAGGCGTTTCGCCTAGTAGCTGGTGCCATTGTCTCTGGCAGGCAATAGTTTGTTGTACAAATGCCTGTTTTTTCCACAGATCATCAGTTAAACTCTCAGGCACTTCTAAGCTCTCTTTCTAGGAGCTCAAGTCCTCTCTGCATCCATTGGCACACATTGCATCTTTTCTGGAAGTTGTTGTTACTGTAGTTTGTGTCCTACAATGTCCCACATTCCTCTTGGTAATGCACGAGTGTCCCTTGTGCTGCCAGGTCGTGCATGCAAATAAATCGGAAGAGCTAAGTGTCCCACACTGTGGTCCTTCTTCTGGATGCGTCTAGTGATGCTGGAATGGACGTTCTGGAGGGTCATGGAAGCCATTACTGGAAGGCATGGTCAGCCGGGGGACCGTAAGAAAAGCCTGGGAATGCTCCGGCAGCCTCCCGTACGCTGCTGGTCACGTGCAGGTTATCGGTGTTGCATAGAGAGGTCGACACGGGTAAGTGGGTGAACTCTGGGTCAAAGTGCCGGAGATCAGTGGGACCAGTCTGTAGATTCAATAAAGAGAGAATTTATTAAACACCCAATCAGAAATATTAATCTTAATGTTACCACCTTGTATTGACAATGATTTACGGTAAACTAAGATATGCTTTCATGTCATTTCTGTTGAAACTTGCATGTCACATATTTAAATTTACACATTTGTAATAATGAAGTTGCAATTTAGTTAATTTGAAGTATATTAACTTTAAATGTAGTTCTGTCATGAGAACTCTCGGAGGGATTTGCATGGTAATTTACATGACAATGTTAATGTATTTGGTCTTGGCGGAATAGATCTGCTACGCTGCTGCGGCAGAGCAAGTACCGATACTTGCTACTGCCAATACATCCACAACATGCTGCTGTGAGCATGTAAGAAATATTGCTGCTGCACATATAACATACGTGAATTAACCCCCATATAGCATACATGAATCACCTCGTAGCAGATCTATACAGGTGGAGCTGGGGGAGGTGGAGGGAGCAGTCTGCAACTGCTACGGCAAGCACTAGTTATATATTTGAATGTTGAGCAGCGAGCTCATTGGCTACCGATACAGGAGAGAACCAATCAGGTGCCATGTGATAATGATGTCATTAGGTCAGATGGAGTTAGATCTATCGGACCGCGCCATCAGAGTTTCATGCAAGAACTCTCTATTTCTGTCATGACAACTCTCGGAGGGATTGGCATGGTAATGTACATGACAATGTTAATGTATTTGGTCTTGGCGGAATAGATCTGCTACGCTGTCAGGTGCCATGTGATAATGATGTCATTAGGTCAGATGGAGTTAGACCTATCGAACTGCGCCATCTAGAGTTTCATGCCAGAACTCTGTATTTAAATAACACACTACATTATAATCAAATACTTTATATGTTTAGTATGTTAGTCAACACATCAAAATATGTGTCCTTCTTTAAAGCACAACAGAAGATTATTAAAACATTTCAAATGTACTTTAAATTACTTATAATTTAACCTTTGCAGATAAAGAGTTAACTTACCACTGTAGGAATGAAAGGAGGCATGATCTTTTTGGCCATGAGGTCGTCCCAGTTGATGGGAGAGAAAAAGCTGTGGAACTTCATTTCCAGCTTCAAATAAGCAAAAGCTTGTATAAGAATCTGCAGAATAAGAATCTCAGGAAAATAAACTTTATGCATGTGGTGTGTTGTGTCCACTTACAAAATCATCTTTGGAGCCCAGTCTCTTGGTACGGTCCTTGTGCAGCAGACCCTCCAGCAGGTCACGGCCAGCGTTGGACACATTAGGCTTCAGGACTAGAGGCATGTGAAGGATGTTGCTGTACATCTCGGCTGTGTTGCGACTGTAGAATGGAGGCTAGAAAAACAGACACAGAGAAATAAATTCACATTGTTTGCAAAATATATCCTTTGCTACAGCTGATCTAGTCATTTTTCAGGCAAAAGACTTGATAGGTCTTCCTCACCAGTCCATACAGCATCTCAAAGAGCACTGATCCCAGGCACCACCAGTCCACTGTACGATCATATGCCTGTTTCTGAAGCACCTCGGGAGCCAAGTACTGGTGAAAAATAAAAAAAAGAGTACTTTTTATAAAAATAAAAGAATATACTTAAATGTGAACTTAATGTAATGTTTTTAGAATACTTAATTGCATGTTAACTGCAATTGTATTATAGTTTACATCTATATTAAATGCAATTAGTTAAACTTTAGAGTGCTTTATTGATTCACTTATGTAGGACACTTCTTTTTTACAAGGGTTAATCTATTCATGAATGACTGACCTCGGGAGTTCCACAGAACGTTGTGGTTGTGCCGTTGGGTTCCAGTCCTTCTTTGCATAGACCAAAATCTGTCAACACAATGTGGCCCTGAGAGTCCAGGAGGATGTTCTCTGGCTTTAAGTCTCTGTGAAAATTGACAGAAAATGATAAGACCCCATTATAATAAACAGAATTGAGGACACAGGTTCAACTACGTCTCCACTAGGGGCACTGCAGCCAATCGCATACCTGTAAACTATGTGCAGTGAGTGGAGGTAACCGAGTGCACTAGCGATTTCAGCAGCATAAAACCTCGCCCTGGGCTCCAAAAACACCCGCTCACGCTGGAGGTGGTAGAACAGCTGCAGGAGGGGGAAAAAAACATACAAAGTCAGTCAGCTATTTTGAGCTGAGGTGCGGCCCCTTTTGAGCTATATGAGAGTACAGTATGAATGCATTGTTTACTAACCTCGCCTCCATTGACGTAGTCTAGCACAAAATACAGTTTGTCTGTGGTTTGGAAAGAGTAGTGCAGCCCCACCAGGAATGGATGCTTGATATTTTTCATTAATACACTCCTTTCTGCCATGATATGCTTTTGCTGAAAAACATATTAAGTGTTAATTGTTACTATACAGCAATTGTGGCAAAGTGCTTTCACATCTATGTGAACACGGCATTGGGTCTTACCTCTTTCTTTTTCAGAATGATTTTCTTCTGCAGCACCTTCACAGCATAGTATTGTTCATTTTTCTTGTGCCTTGCGAGCAGAACCTGTGAAATACGATGCCGTTAGGATTCTCACTTGAAGATATGACATAAGTGTTGACATCTTGACTGTATTAAAAAGCTGTTTGTGCCCACCTTTCCAAAGCTCCCCTTCCCAATGATCTTTAAGTAGTCAAAATCCGAAGGTTTGATCCTGTTAAGGAAATTAAACAACATTAGTAATGCAAACAACAAGCAGCCTGGCTGACTGGAATCCAATTAACCAAACAAACGAAGAGGAACTACGCACTGAGTCTCCTCAGCCAAAGAGCTCCTGGGATTGGCCAAATACAGGTGATTCTCCTCCAGCTCCTCATTCTGGTTCTCATCGATTTTTAAGAACGAACCAACCTCGGCACTAAGGCAAAGAGATTAAAAAATATTATGGATTTTATTTTCAGAGTTAACTTTGTTCAAGACCCACAGTTTGTATAAATCAAAATAAAACAATGGAAATCTATTGGAGCATGATTATGCAACGATTGCCCAACATACTTCCAATCTCTTTAAAATGAGTCAAAATGTTTGTTTTTGTAAATGTATTTAATCCAGAACTTTCCTTTAAATGAATTATTTCCTGTAATGCGTTTGCAGGCAGATAGATGGCAGTGTTAGTGAAGTTTATGAGGGGCTGTTTCAGGTTTATTGGAAATTCAACATTTCTTTTTGACCTGACAAGACAGCTGTTCCTTGTGCAAGATTATGAGAATGGATGCATCTACTAATAAAATTTAGATCAAATGATATTTTATTGAAACCTTTCTCTCAGCCCAAAATTATGACTTTTAGACTATTGAGAGCTGAAATCTCAACTTTTTACACAATCTCCTTGACTGAATATTGTGGAGCATCTGAGATGACGCGGTGAGAAATTTTCCGCTGGTCCGACCTGAATGACTCTAAGACCAAATGGGCCGCACTTAATTGAATTAGGCCCTTATCCTCGTCTAGGGGACATTAGGGATTTTCTCAAAGGTGCTTACTGCGGCCAAGCGGCGGCCTGAACATCTTTTCGTGGAACACTATTCTGGTGCTTGGCTTTATCTCGCCGGTACAGATTAACCTGCACAATTAGCAGAACGCACAGCTAAACTCAGATGATGGGATTACATCCTCTAGTACAGTCACCTCATTGAAGGCCTATATAAATACACTACAGGTCACAGGGTTGCCTTTATGAATGAAGGATGGAATTTTCCCTGAACCACTTTCTTACTGATTTTGAAACAGAAATCATCTCTACTCTTATTTGTTGATTTTGCCTTTTTCGGTTCACACATATACTTGTAACTGTAAAAGCATCATGCAATTGTTTATTTCCATGTTCATATTATTAAATATTGAGATACTTACTGTTGACAGATGGGAGGGTTGGAAACAAGCTTCTGGATGAAGTCGTTTAAGCCCATCTTCCTTTCTTTAATAAAAGCTGGAAAAAAACAACAACAAGCATTTAGGTCAGAAGGAAATCCACAGCTGACGTCACTAACACCCTGCATTTGAACTGATTGAACTGCCAACCATATGTGATGGGAAACCCTTCGAAATCTTAAAGGTTATCGGTAAAATAATCATTTGCACGTCGAGTCTGCCAGAAAACGTTTTTCTTTTAGAAGCCGTGATTCAGAGGATCCGTGTGAAATGGTTTAATGTCAAGAACAGTGTCAGTGTTACACAACAGACCGCATTGCTCACTGTATCTGTACAGATCTGCTGTTTATCAAGAACGATCATTTCTATCACTCTCATGGAACCACATAATTTAATAAAACAGCATAAAAATATTTAAACCCGAAAAATGCAATATTTTTAATCATGCAATCATTTTGCATGGCTATATAAAAATGCGATTAGTATAATAATAATAATAAATAATGATGAAGATAAATAATACTAATAAAAATAATTGCAACGTTATGTCTAAAAATTGACTGTACAACACACACACACAAAAAAACTCTTTTACATCCCTAAAAAGCATATATTTCTATTCTTTCATTTTTTTTTCCTTTTCACATATTTGACATATTGCATACCCCCAACCCCCCAAAAAAACAACATATGCAAACGAAATCTATTAAGACACCAGAATAACTCAAATGTGTTGAGACGTACCGGTAAGAACGGACACGATGGCCCTCATCCTGCAGTATGTCAAGTCACATCCAGCCTGAGTAACTGCCATCACTATTATTATAAGTATAAATCCACAGGAGGAATGTATTCCTTCGGTTAAGCCTGTGTTTTATTGCAAAGCGCTGATCTCCCAGCAGCAAACGGCTTGACGGAGCGCACTGCTGGGCTCTGATGCTGCCAGCGCTACAGTCTTCCCCCGCCAGCCCTGGACTGCTAGTTTTATACGGAGCACGTGGTTGTGGAGGCGAGGCTCTGACATCACTCAAGAGTAACCGAGGAGACTTGCCAGATGTGATGGCACGGGATCCCGCGAGTCTCTGTTCCGCCGGTAGAGGGCGACGCGAGGAACGGAAGCGCTTCCATTCATGTGAGCCAGATCAAAAACTTTCTATCATTGGAAAATTACTACACAGCTGGCTCGTAATCTCAGCATAGTGTAACAGATTAACCTCTAATCCTTATCAGTAATGATGAGGAAGAACGTGAAGCAGTGAAAAATGAGAAATGAAAAGCATGCAGTGAAAACAGGGCTGGAGGATCACTTGCCTGCTATTAAGGTCTCTGTTAATGGAAGACATTCCTGTGCTGAACAGATGTGCTAAAATATTCACCCTATTACTTAGTGAACTGGCGTTTCCGATAATGACGCACATTATTAATCTGTTAAAGCCTGTGTTTTACCAGATCCTCGTCTCTGAACAAGCCACCATCCGACCAGGTCAAGGGTGTGAGGAGGCACGGCTTACGTAAAGCGATACTCTCTAAACCACATCATTTATTTTTCAGCCTGTTCTCCAAATGTGGTCCACTGACCCTGTAAGTTATATAAGTGTGCCATAATGTGATGCCATCCTGTCCTTTAGTACAGAATTTGCCAGGTTAGCCAACTGTAAAAACTAAGGTGTTTTCAAACTGGTGTCCACACCATATTTTAATTATAAAAATTCTGAATAATATTTTATAAGTATTTGTGTGTCCTTTTACGTGAACATATATTTTAGGAAAGAGGTCCTCACAAATGGATCATCATATTTGAGGTTTTATGGCATCAAAAAGTAAAAAAAAGTGCAAAAATTGTACCTTCAGGGGTACAAAAGCTTGTGGGTCAGTACCCTTGAAAGTACACCTTTGGACCTTCTTTATCCCTAAAGGGTGCATATTAGGCAAGGCAAGGCAAATTTAAGTTTAACACAACCGTAAAATAAATCTAAATTGAAAAGAGAGAAAAAAAGAAAAAGACAAAGGAAAATAAAACAAATATAAAAACAATTAAAATGTAAATACATAAAACAACATTTAACACCAATTCAACTATTTAAAGTACACATACAGCATCACCCAAATGCTAGAGAGTAAAAATAAGTCTTTAAGCTGGATTTAAAAGCATCCAGTGATGGAGAAGCTCTGATGGTCAAAGGTAGACTGTTCCACAGCTTTGGGGCAACCACTGAGAAAGCTCGGTCACCTTTTGTTTTACAACAAGAACGGGGGACAGATAAAAGTAACTGATCACACGATCTTAATGTCCTAGAGGCCGTATAAGGCCTAATAAGATCACAAATATAATCCGGGCCAGAATTATGCAATGCCTATATATGCAAATAGAAGGATTTTAAAGTCAACTCTAAATTTTATAGGGAGCCAGTGCAATGAGGCAAGGACAGGGGAGACATGATCCCTTTTCTTAGTTCCTGTTAAGAATCTGGCTGCTGCATTTTGAACCATCTGTAACCGAGACAGTGTCGATTGAGGTAAGCCAATGTACAAAGAGTTACAGTAATCCAATCGAGAGGAAATTAGTGCATGAATTACAATTTCAAGGTCTTTTCTAGAAAGAAAGTGCTTCACTTTTGCCACTGATCTGAGATGAAAAAAGCTACTCTTTACAACTGCATTTACATGCTTGTCAAAATTGGAGGTGAGGATCAAAATGGACTCCAAGATTTTTTGCATGACTGTTTAGGTTATTACTTAAGAAACCTAACTGTGTTTTAACGGAGTTGTTAGTAGCAGCACATGATATTAGTACATGATAGGTACCCTTAATGAAGTAATGCACTCTTGCACCCTTTAGGGATAAAGAAGGAACAAAGGTGTATTTTTAAGGGTACTGCCCCGCAAGCTTTTGTACCCCTAAAGGTACAATTTTTGAACATTATTTCTGAAAGTTAATTATAAAGTAGCCACAGTAAAATAAAAAAGTGAAGAGAAAAATGAAATGGTATTGATACTGCATTGTTCCTTTAGTGTTATTTTATGTCACTGAGATAGTATTTTTTAACATTTTTGAATTTGTTTTTATTTATATTTTCCTTTTTCTTTTTAATTTCGTTTAGTTAAAGTTTAATTAATTTTGTTTAAATATGTCTATAGTTGATTATTTTTTATTTCAGTTTTAGTACATTTCTCATTTAAATGAAAATGAGAAATGTTGCTTTGGCAACTAGCAGATTAAAAAAATATGTTTTTTAATGTTTATTTTACTTTTTGGTTTTGATTCTAGTTTTAGTTACCTATAATAAGCCCTGGGTCGTGTGTGATTTGCATGTTCACTCCCATTAGCCTACACTTCTTCTGGAATGCATAACCTGTTCTATCTGTAAATCCAGTCTACATATGCGTAATGCCCTTGTCATCCTTTCATCTTACACAAAGAGCTCGAGTACTTTCTGAGAGGTTTAAAACTGCCCTGCCAGTGGAGCAATATATGGTGGGTTACTGGAGCCTTGCCAGAGTCTGTTTACATGATCAGGTGGCGTGATATCAAACAGCTTAAGAGTTACGTGCTTTGTATTAACCAAACATCCTATCTTTCCGATAACAGTTAAGAGGAACCATGGAGGGAAATTCAGGTTTCAAATAACAAAAGCGATGGGCAAGATCTTCAGTGGAATACCACCTATTGCAGAGGAAAACTGGATAGTGCTTATCTGGTTCCACTGCACAGTCAATACATTTAGAGTCTGTTTACATGATCAGGTGGCGTGATATCAAACAGCTTAAGAGTTACGTGCTTTGTATTAACCAAACATCTTATCTTTCCGATAACAGTTAAGAGGAACCATGGAGGGTAATTCAGGTTTCAAATAACAAAAGCGATGGGCAAGATCTTCAGTGGAATACCACCTATTGCAGAGGAAAACTGGATAGTGCTTATCTGGTTCCACTGCACAGTCAATACATTTCAGCTCATAACTCAGAACCAGATGAATATTAGACTGAAAAAAAGAGAGTAAAATATATATTATTTTATTTATTACTTTTTTTTTTTTCAGAACCAATAAATTTGCTATATATAATAAAGTGAGTAATGTAAAATTTTAGTTTTGTGGCTTTATTTATTATTATTTATTATACTTTATTATTATTAATTTAAAATGCATAGTGTAACAATGAGATTGTACAATGCATTATAAGGTGCATTACAAGGCATAATTAATGCACTAAAACTACTTTTATAATGCATTATACAAAAAGGCTTTAAGTGAAGTGTTACCGAAAGAATTTTCTAAAAGTGACATTTCCATTTTAATAAGTTTTTTTTTTTTTACTTTAAAAAAACTTTTTATTTATTTGTTTGTTTATTCTGAGACAAGCACAGAGAAAAAGTATGACCAATCCTTACCCTATAGATCAGATGACTAGTGACTGGTTCAGCTTTATAACCTTCTCTCTATTTGTCTTGTGTCCTTCTGTCCCCACTAACCTGCCCATGTTTCCACATATCATGTTACAGTAACAGTAGCTCATATGCCAAGTGGACAGGTAGTAAAGTCTGTTCCTCTCAATGAGTCATTCTGTCATACTTGTCACAGATCCAGTTATTACTATTTATTTCCTGTTACTATACTTGCCCCGTTACCATGGAGACGCAGGTCTCTGCTGCACGACTGAGAGTGCAAGAGAGTGTGCATTTGCATAACAGGCCGAGTGTCATTCGGTCAGAAACCGTCTGCCACACTCTGGTGGGCAGGAAATGAATCATCCGAAGAGAAGGGGGAGTTTATTCTCGACTTCTGCACCTCCTCTCACTGCTCAGGGCCCATTGGACCCATAAGGCACTTTACCTCCGTGCCGGCTCGCCATCATGAATTAAGTGCCAACCTCATGCCCACACATTCTGTGATTTCTTGACTGATTAATTCATGACTTCCTCCCACTACTTCCGTTTTTCTCTCTCTCTCTTCTCATCCTTCATCTATGTATTGTTGTCTGTAGTGTGTTTGTATTGTATAGAGCTCAATAGGAGCTGTCTAATGGGGATTGACGTCTCTGTAAGTGGGTGTTCTTAAGCTCTCAACTCTAACTCTAACCGTTTACACTCATTACTATTCAGTTAAGTGAATAGAAAACATGCAATGTGAATATAAAAGCTAATCTGTACCATTAGTGGAGCACATAGGGGTGCAAAGGAGAAAACCTGTGTTAAGATGCAGCATAATTAAATAAGCCTATATCAATAGCTGCAAAAAGAAATTGAAATAATTTAATAAGGTTCAATCTGATAACATTAGTTAATGCATTATGTATCATGAACTAATGCTAAACAACATTTTGTACACATTTACACTGAAGACTAGAAACAATCTTCACTTAGAAATTGCTATTACAATTAATTACAAAGAAACAGCAAGTAACATTGAATTAAATGTGAAATTTTCAAGTAGAAAGACTGAAATTGTAAAACACTTAATAATCTTTTTTTTACTTACAACTTCAAAAAATATTTTTTTACAGTGTAGTAGACTAGACTAATGTTAGTTTATATACTGTTGTTAATGTTCACCCTTTAACTGATATGAATTATACAGTTTAAAATATTATAAATGTATTAGTACTGTAAATATGTAGAGAACTTGGTTGATTTAATATCAGTTTTAAATTAAATGTATTTTTTAAAGGGGTCATATGGTGCGATTTCAATTTTTTCTTTCTCTTTGGAGTGTTACAAGCTCTTGGTGCATAAAGAAGATCTGTAAAGTTGCAAAGACTAAAGTCTCAAATCCAAAGAGATATTCTTTATAAAAGTTAAGAGTCAGCCACGCCTACCTAAAACGGCTCGTTCGAACACGCCCCCACATGTCTACGTTACTACGTGGGAAGATTTGCATAACGCCGTCCAAATGTTCACGCAAAGAAAGAAGGCATAACTTTTATTCTCGCTGTAGTATTGTTGCCGCCGCCGCCGTGTCGTGAAGATGCTGTGTGCTT